TATAACAGGTTGGGGTTCTATCTATCTATCTATCTATCTATGTATCTATCTAAGCTTTTGCACAAGAATCCAACTTGGCTGTTAAAAGAGCTTTAAACCCCCCTCCCCCCAGCAAGCAGCTCATAAGACACAGACTCAGGAGAAGAATCATAGAATGGTTTAGTTTGGAAGGGACCTTAAAGACCACCTAGTTCCAACCCCCGCCATGGATAGGGACACCTTCCACTAGACCAGGGTGTTCAAAGCCCCATCCCATGTGGCCTTGAACACCTCCAGGGATGGGGACTCCTCAACTTCCCTAGGCAACCTGTTCCAGGACAGTGGGCTCCAATACTGCTCTCTCCCCACCTCCTCCCCCCCGCCACGCTCTGAGGCTCCCAAGGCTCCCACCTAGCTTTCCATAGATTTAGGTATCGTTATTTTCTCCTTTTAGGACCTACTAAAGGAGAAGATGTCCCCCCAGTGTTAATTAAGCCAGTCTGCAACCCGTTTTGCTTTTGGTCTAAAAGACTCCAAGCTTCTCTCTGGTGCGGCGTGCGGCACAACAGCCAGGAGGTGAGTACCCAAACCCATCAGCTCAGCCCTACCAGCACCCAGGAGCACTGGGCACACGTGCTCACACGTACAAGAGCAGCCCAGCTTTCCACAATCACCCTATAAAGTTATGCAAGGGATGCTGCGCAGGCACCACGGACTGGAAGTGAGATCAGCCAAACCCTCCTACTCAGCACTGGTCAGTAATAAGTTACCGATTTCCCCTGTTTATGCAGCACACGGGGACTCAGGGTCTCGAGACAAACAGCCCTCAGGACGGCCAGCAGCCCGTGAAACAGGGGATGACCCCTCCTCTCCCTGCCCTGGCAGCCAAGCAGGGACAAAACTGCACTTTACACCCCAGGGAGGAGTTCACTGAGCTACAGCCTCCTCCCACCCAAGACAGAGAGAAAAACTTTAGTACTCACACATCCATGAAGATCTCCTGCTGCTGCTGCTTCCATCTCCACCTCCAGCCCTGGCAGGGCACCTCCCCTCCAGGACTTCTCCCCTCCTGGCCAGCAGAGCCAGCCACCAGGCAGAATTGATCCCACCAGCACCTGGGCTGTTCCCGCCCACCACCTCCACAGAAATAGGACCGCCCCTTCCCCAGGTGTTTCAGGGCTTCATAGCTCGTTAACGAGCACCTCACTTTCTTGCAGCGTTACAACAGTTTGCAGAAAAACAACATTGCTCCATTTTAGCCGAATCTACTAGGTTTAGAAAAGGGACATAAAGCAGTATGTAAGTTTTCAGCTCTACAGGTACCTTTAAATCTTGAAAGTAATCTTTCAGCTGCAAGGCTCACAGCATGCAGTGATAAGGTAGACGTTGTCTCTCCACCAGGCTTGCATTAAGTTTGACGGTTTGATTTGGAGCACAGCTGTGGCTCTCTCTAGATTTGCTTCAGCTGTTTCACTTGGCTTTTAGGTGCTCGACATCGGAAATTTCCAGAGAAAAAAAAACAACCTCAGTAAAAGCAGTAGGAAAAAAAAAAATCACATAGGCATTTATCCCCTTGTATTTGCTTAAAATGCAGAATAACAACATTAATCAAGTAATTGCAATGTTAAGCCACTGAGGCAAGCATAGCCCAGGCAAATAAACCAATCCACTAAAATGCAGATAAATATGCAAATGAAAAACTAAATTTAAGTGATTGGGAGTGCACTGAGGGCACATTTCAAGACTTATACAGGTATAGAGGAGTTGTGAGAAGTTGGTTTTGTGGGGGTTTTTTTTGCCAAAGACTTTCCCCAGGGGAATGAGAAAGTCAGTGGTTGTGAACTAAAGAGTTCCTGTTTGTAGCTCTTGACAGTCATTTCATGTACTGAAGTAACTCCACAGATCTATAAGAAAGGATGTCAAAATTTCAAAATGCACCAAGATACTCTTTAAGCAAAGGAAAAAACCAGTGAATACAGGCTGCAAACTACTAGGGTATTTTCTTTCTTTTCTTTCAGGTGGACTTTGAAAAAAACCCGCCTAATGTTACTGCAAATAAAGCTGGAAGAGATGACACCTTCAAGAATAGTATCAACAAAGAAAACAAACGGCACTTCCCTGGTTACAATCCTGAGGAAAAATCCTATACTAATATAAGCAGAGAATCTCGTCTCTAGAAATGGAGGGACAATGGACATTTAATCAAACTTTATTTCTCCAGCTTCAGAAATGAAGAGCCTTTTTTATTGTAGATGACCAAAAGGGAAAAATTGCTCTCTATAGCAATAAAAGCCAGATTTTTATTTATTAATTTCATGGCAGAAGTGGGAAATCATCGGACAAGGGGGGTTGTGGAAGCAGTACTATGTCAGAAGAAATGTTTCATGAATCTTGTCACGGAGGCTCCTGCTCAGAAGGAGCTGCAACACGTCTCTATCACACGCTTTGTTCAGTAACTAGTCATTGAAGGGAAATGTGCAAAGGTGAACTTGAGATAAAGCAAGACTTTGGAGAAGTTCCTGAGGTCTCTCACTAAGGTGAGAGTGGGAACTGCCCTCTGATGGAGGGGAGAGGACGGATGTCACGCTGAGCTACTCTCTGCCTATTTCTAGGTATTGCAAAAAGCCTCCTCACAGGAATGTTGTGTAGACCAGACTGGTCTTTTAGCGACTGAGTTAATTGTGTTTGCTTCCTCTGTGGAACTCAGATTTCTTTATAATGTCTTATTGCAAATGCTATAGCAGAGAGCAACAAATTTTACTTCAAATTCAGGATAGTTCTTCATCCATATTAGTCTTGGAAAGACATCCCTTCAGCTTGAAAAGATCCACTACTCCCTTTATGCAATAAAGAAAATAAAATGACATTTGATGATGATGCCCTCTAATTGATAATCCAGACACATAACTAGGCAAAATAATCTGTCTGGTAAAATGTCTTGGACAAAGGAACTATGTCCACCAAGTGCTCTGTTTAAAGACACATAACCAGGAAAAATAATCTGTCTGGTAAAATGTCTTGGGAAAAGGAACTATGTCCACCAAGTGCTCTGTTTCAATGAAACACATTTCCTCTAATACTTGCCTGTTGTAAATAAAACAATAAGACTCGACAGACCACTTCTCACCTAGATAAACTTCAGGATGTAGTTTTTTGGATGAGTGTATTTGTTTTTAAACAAAACTCACAATTGAATGAAAATATCAAAGACAACTCAGTTATAGACCCAGCTGATACTGCTCTGAAGAACCCAGCTATTGCTTTTGCTTTATCAGCAACCATCTTTATGATGTAGAACTAGGTCACCCTGGTCCTTGAAGGTACTTCCCCTGCCTGCATTCAATGCCCTCCCTCTGGGAATGGTCCCAGGATAGTCAATCCAAGGCCAGAAATAGCAGTCTGTGTGTGATCAGCCTGGCCCTTGAAGTTACTTCCCCTGCCTGCGTTCATGCCCTTCCTCTGGGAATGGTCCCAGGATAGTCAGTCCAAGGCCAGAAATAGCAGTCTGTGTGTGACACTGTCTCACTTGTGCAGGACAGTTAAGTCAACAAACTGACAGTTAAGTCAATATTTGTGTTAATCCTTTTCACACCACTTTTATAATCTCATAAAAGCTTAGAGACGGGCCAGGCTGGCAGCCGGTTGTCTCACACGGCACGCTGTCTGGTCATGCTTCCATACCTGATATAGATACCAAGGCAGAGATGGAAACTTAGTAAATAATACTGTTGCATCGTTTATAGCTCAGGGCTACACACATTCACTGAATTTCACTGAATTTTTAGAGTGGGCCAGGCTGGCAGCCGGTTGTGTCACATGGCATGCTGTCTGGTCATGCTTCCATACCCGATATAGATACCAAGGCAGAGATGGAAACTTGGTAAATAATACTGTTGTATCATTTATAGCTCAGGGCTACACACGTTTTTGCTCTAGCTTTTATTAAGAGAGCCTAACTATCACGCTTCAAGACGTAAAATAATTGTGGAGTGAAAGTGGTTCAAAACACCAATGTGAAGCTACATAGTTAGATGGTGGATGAAAGAAATCTCTCTACTGGTAGCTGAAGGATATCTGATTCAGAGACACCTAACTGTGAAAAAGCCAAGTCTGCTCTGAATATTTTTTGAGACGCTTACTCATTGCAGTATCGTTACGCTCTGCATGCTGGAAGAAGCATAGGTTCCATCTTTCAGTATTTTTTCACAAGTTTAGCAGCACATTTACACTGGATTCACTACAGGCTTAGGATCTTTTCAAGGACATTGCCACAAAAGAGAATCTTAATTTGTCCATACAGTGCCAAAAAAAGTGAGTTAGGTTGACTAGAATTGTGTTCTCTCAAAATGCCTTTGAAGAAATATCCTGAAGAATTCAACTTCATATTTCTGAACTGGTTTTATTTCAACTAAAGCTGCTTATCAGGCCCAAGGGTTTTCTGTATTTGTAAAGGAGCCAGGCATTTCACAGAGTTTTATTAAGTCCAACACGTGGACTTATGTATGATGGCTAAAATCATTAACCAGTAGTTCATTATTCAGTCTTCTACAAAGATTTAAGGGTGTGGCCTAGCAAAACTGTAACTCAGAAAAAATTACCATTCTGATTCAATATTCAGGTCAGTGTCGTTAACAGTTATCTTCTTATCTTCTCTTTTCATTTACATCCTGAACCATTGATCCTTCCAGAGAAGAGCCAGCCTGTGCACTTGAATTGAAAAAATGAGATTAAGAAACCAGGAATATGTAAACTCTAAAACAAGATCTTAAGTTTAAGAAATTGTTACTAACTAGTGAAAGCAGTAGACCATAAATGTTAAAAAATTTGAAAAGTGAGTCTATATGTGCCTTGAGACCACAGTAAGCAAGTATTTAATTGTTAAAAGTTAAACAAGTGTCTGAGCCGAGTTTAACACCTAAATGATTTCCTATGGTTTGAAGGCACATTGGGACTCACTTCTCTATCGTATGATTTTTTTTTAATTGACTTTGAATACGAGGAACAATGAAGCTCCAAGGCTCTTTCAAAGATATCCAAGTTTATTATTGAAAAAATGCAATATTCAAATGTGTATGATACAGTAAGTAGTTGCATTTGTACATGTAAACCTTGATAAAGTAAACAGCATCTCAAAGACAAATTTATGCCAAAAGTGTCTTACAAGAGTTAATCAGATCAACAACTTTTTCCTCAGTGAATTTTTTTAGTTCTGGGGTACACATCAGATTGTAAAAGTAATCTTAAAACACAGAAGAAATCTAAAGCTGACAGGTCAGAGAAACTTCTAGCTTATAGTGCATAAAAGTCAATTTCTCTGAAACGCTCTGTGGTACTGTAATCTATATTTTAAATATTACTTACAAAGTGTGGATTTATGAATAGAAAAAATAGTTGAAATTTTATTCTCATTCCTTACTTAGAAACCAAGTTGTATTTAAATATTACATAAACTTCAAATATATACACATTTTAAGAAATCTCTTACGATCATGATATTGCAAGTTAGCCAGGACTATCAGATAAAAAATGACTGAACTACGTTACTCAGTTAGATTTTACATGACATTATTTCAAAGAACTGAAATTTCAGTGGTACTACTCTAGGTAAAAATTAGAGCCAACAGTTTGGAAGATTTTTCAATACAAAACTCTGAGTCATCTAAATAGAACACAAAATAAAACTGTGATCTGAATTTCTTTTCGTTATTAACAGAAAAATCGTCGTGTTCTGAGTGTTTAGAATTTCATTAGCTTTAGACTCCATTGGGTTTAATCCTTATTACTCACCCAGCAGCATCCTAATAACTAACTCATGGTAATAAGAATGCAAACTACAGAGAAGATATAACGTTATAGAGGTTATGGCAAAACGTCAGAACGAGCCAACAGAACTAACACAAGGTAATTTCCAGTGTAGTGAGGAGGGAACAAACCATTAACATTTCAAGACTAAATCCCAGTCCTGGATTTCGAAAGTCCCTGGATAACATGGAATATGGAAGTGACGTCTCTACATTTCCTTGTTGTGCCATTAGAACTTTGTGCTGTTGTGGGAACATTGTGCTATCACGACTATGCCAAAATCACGCCAATACAAATTTCTGGTAAACGTGGTTGCAATGGCAATATAAAAAAAAAAAAAAAAACAAATCCAATAGTCAATATACATCTGTTATATAAGTTTTAAAATGCTAGGATTGTGTAGGGTATTTAGGACACCTGTGTGGGTGTAAGGAGGGACATAAGGAGTGCAAAACATAATGATTGTGAAGTGGCTGAAGGGGGCAGATCCAGAAATGAGTGGCCTAATGGCACATATAGATGCACCCCGTGCTTCCTCGCACTGCTCTGTCCAATGCAAACCAACTCGTAAAAAGCACCAGAAAACCCAGTATCTGTGCACTTTCTGCTTTGGCTTCTCACACTTAGGGACATCCAAAAAGAGTCTGCAAAAAAATCTGCAGTTACAGAATTGCCCTAGAAATTCGACCATCAGCAAGAAGGCATTGTTTAATAAAACACTGAGGATAAGTAAAGAATGAACCAGAGGAGAAAAGGAAAAGGATCAGGAGGGCTGTCACCATGCTCCAGCTTCAACCCCTTGTTTTGCAGAACCTCTCAGGATTCTGGAGCAAAACTCACTGTAGTGAAGAGGAGCCCTTTACTTCCTCTGCTCATCCCCTACCTCAAAAAGCTGCCATGGTGTTTTTTACCCCAGTAGAACATGGGCTTTGCGAGCTAGAGGTTGAGTATGAAAAGACTCAGGGGTCTTTTAAACCTGCTAAATTTTCCACCACAGGAATTTAGTCAACTAAACACTTTCAGAAAGTGTTCTGCACATATTTTAGTCAGACAAAGTATGTATTGGAACTAACAAAATAACAAGTCTGTCTAAATGTGGAATTCTGTTTGGATTCTAGTCTCAACCTTAACACCAAATAAACATTATTATGAAAGGCTGGCTGTATATTTCTACCTTTACCCTCAAATAAGTAACATAAGTAGTTTATGAGGATTACAAAAGTAATCCTCATCGCTTCTAGAAGTGCTACTGCACTGTAAGTGATTGCTGATACCACTATTGTTCTCTGTCCCTTTTCTCCTATGTAGCACTTAATAGAAAATGTGATTGATTGATTTCCCATTAACTTCACTGCCTTCATATCTAGCTGTTTGTATAAAATGAGTTTCATTGATATGGTGACTGCACAGTGTCAGTCTAGTTTAATAATAATAATAATTCTAGTTTATAATACTTCCAATAAAAATTTGTGTCACTTGTAAGTTAACCATGTGCGAAGTGCTCCTTTTCATTTTATGGACGTGGATCATTTTCAGTTAATTCCAAGTGATACGACACTTCTAAATATGTATATATTAATTTGCCCCTGAACAAACTGTGACATAATGCAAAAGATGAGTAAGTCCCATGATGCCACGTAGGACTCTGCAGGCAGTGCCACTGGATCCCATGGCTCCAGAAATTCTCTCCTGTTTGGAGTCTGCAGTGAAAGAAGGTTGCAGCAAGGAAACTGCAGATGTGCACTACTTACATCAGACCAATCATCTGAATGGCACATTAAGAGTAAAATATCACCAAAGTTCTTGTGTTTCCCTATACTAACACTCACCCTAAACCTGTGATTCCCAAGATATTTTTCCTTCTGCACAACCTTTTATGAAGGAAACCTCAGGAGATTTATGAATTTATGCATTAAGGGATGTACCTATTGACCTGTTTTGACTAGGTCCTCCAGACATTTTTCTTTTGAGCTTTCCACATGACACAACTGAGCCTAACTGATCCTCAGAACTAAATTTAAGACAAGCTGCTGTTGGAAAAGGGCATAGCAACAGTTGCTGTGTGTGTTGTTGTAATGAAGATATGTACTTTCAAAGAAACAACTAAGTGGTAAAAAAACCACTTATCGTCCATCATCACTATGGAAATTTTAGCCTTGTCACCAGCAATATTAACTTTCAACATTCATCTAAATTTTCTCTATAAATCATTTAGTAAAAGGGGTAGGAAAGAAAAATAAAAAAACCCCCATCACGTGGTTTGCCTTGTTTGCAAATATTAGTACTCTTATCAGGATGCTTAATTACTGTACTGTGTTTCTGGTAAGGAAACTAAATTACAGAAATCTCCAGTGCTCAACCTTCAGGAAACCTTGTTGGCACTCGACTGAGAATTCTGAAGTCTTAAGGCATCCCTCTCTATGGAGACAGACGCTGAGCTCTAAGAAGGAACTTCTCATTACAATGGCTAATGAAGCAGAACTCTTTTTTTTCCTTTTTTAGTCACCAGAATTCAGATCTTACACATTAGGCACAAATTTAGAATAAGAGCTCATAAGAAATGAGATGGGTATAATGTACGTGGACTTTTTGCTGTTTCTGAAATGGAAATTTCTTCTGTCTGGATCAAGACACGAAATTTGGTTAGGAATAATTAAGACATTTTGGACTAATCCTTTGTATTTACAAATATCTAGTTGCTCATGCAAGTCTCTCTAAGGGCGCATGCATAGAGCAAAGTTGTCATAGATTAGATCTGCAACGATCTAAAGCATTTTTGCACAAATTGAAGTCCTAAAGCTTTGTCAGATTTCACAAATGCAGCTTGCATGCACAGTCTATTCATACTGGTCATTTGTTTGGAAAGACAATATTTAGAATATGAAAAGATCATTCACCATTCATAAAATACATTGTTCCTGAGGACAGTGTGTGCCTTATACTTTAGTAAAATAACGTGCAGTCAATGCAAAGAGCATACTAAACAAAGTCTAGCAAAAAGTTTTCTCAGCTTAAGCAAATGGCTAGATAGTGGCCAAACCTTTAGACATTGTTCATGTCCTCCAAAAATGAAGGAACACACACAGTGTTTCTCCAAAACTTGTGCTTTTCCAGTGTGTAAAATGCACAATGTCAGACCTACATACTTGCCTTTGATATACTTCTATACACCAGTGTTGAAAATCATTAATAATATATATATATTTAAATCTTAAATACAAAAAGGTTTTCTTTCCTACGTGTTTTTAAAGTCCAATTGGAATTTGCCCAAGTATGTATTGACACGTGTTAATATCCACAGCAGAAATAGGAAAGTATAAAATAATCAATCAATATTTCTGATTTTTGCCTAATTTTATCCTGTATCTTTACACCTTGGGCCAGCCAAGGCATTTTGTTTTTAAAGAAAACATTAAAATGAGAGCTCACCTGTGACCTTCTGAAGAACTGAATACTATTGCTATGAGGCACAGAAACAGAAGCTGTGAGACACTGTTAATGCTGTCAAAAAGAACTTGATAATCCACAGAATGAAAGAGAGAGGCAGTAAATTAAATCAAATGGTGTGATTCTATAAGCACTGAGGAGAATGCATTAATTATTTCTGATAAAGACTCCTGAGGGCCTTAACGCACAACCCAGAATATGAAGGAACAAAACTGCCTTTCTAAAATATAGGAAGCTGATTTCCACCAGCCCTTTATCACAGAACTAAAGGGTAATATATCTGATTAGACCATACCTTCCAATTTCTTTCCTCCTTTGTGCAATGCTGCAGATACTCCTATAGTTGCCTTGTCTGGTCACAGAGAGCTGGAATTAACCAAGAAATCTTATGAACATGGGGAAAGGACTAAAGAACCTAAGGTCTGATGCTAGGCCCTCTGGATACAACAGATCTCACCTGTCCCCTTTGATGGGCTCTTGACTCTTAAAATTAACTTTATGTGGCATGATAAATTAAAACAATTGTGCTAATATATGCAAATGAATACTGGAATCAAACTTTTTGGTTCAATAGGGTGTTGTAAGAAGTAAAAAATCAGGTCTTTTCAGGTCTGTCAGCAGTGATTTTGCTGCAGCTTTATCCCTAAAAATAATGTTAAAATTCGCAGCCTTTAGAGTTACTGTGCTTTGTTGACTCTTTGTTTTTAACATTTTTATCATCCAATATAGAGAAGCATTATTTAAAATTGTAGAAGAGAAACAGAATGACTGTACCTGTTTCTCCACTCCCTTCTCTGCAAATGAACCCTGCACACTTGTTTTAATTGTTTAAGTGCTTATCTTCTCCCAGATTATGAAATGTTAGTAATAGACAATTTCATCACCAAAATGTGACTATATCCATAAGCAACACTGCTGTATGCACATAAAACCTGAAATTTGATCCTTTACATGAACATCTACCTTTCATAGTGATTTTATCCAAAAAGCCCTCCCCCCCCAACTGTAAGAAGGCATACAAATAATAATAAAAAAATCTAAAAGTAACCACTGTGTGTGCATTTATATACAACCTGTATACATATCTGCCTGTATCTAACTCTCATGCTTTGACTTATTTAGGCCAATAAAAGAAGTGCACATTACTGGAACATTTACTATTACAATAAGAAGAGCATCGTTATAAAGTGCTCTGCTTCTCCTTCCCTGAACAAGCAAGTCACAATGTTATACTGTATGTCTGATATATATCTGCATAAGCTTGCATACTATAAAGAGTTAATTGTATATTCAGGACAAAGTCATTTGCGCTGTATGAGAATATTTCAAGTTAGCATTCTGTGAAGTCATGGAATCATTACCCAGACAGGTCAAAGGGAACAGTAACACGGTTAGACACCTGCATGCTACATTGGAGCATGAAAATGACAGAGCTTTCATCCTGGAAGCGTGTGGAGGTGGCCTTTCTGCACACAAAAGTGGAGCGACAGCTCAACAGCCATGTCATTTTCAAATATAGCTGCAATGCGGGCAATGCGATGCATTCTCTTAGTGCTGCTGTTTTCTCTTTGAATTTAGAATTTTTGGTTTTCAACTGGAAGGATAAATTAATGACACTGATGTGCAAATCTTAAACTGCATAGTATATATTAAGCAGCCATAGACCCCTTTTTTAGGGCAGGACCACATCCACAATCTCAACAAGAGACTAGGACAAACCTGACAAAACAGTAAGCCTGAAAGATCATTTCTATCAAATTATGGCCACAAAGGCAACAATTGCTCTTTTCTTCAGAGGCATTACAGATGGAGCCGAGCAATTAGAAGCTGTAGAAGTAGTGGATATCACGTAAGTTGGTTTTAGTCATGCCCTTACTGTATAAGTTCACAGGTAATTTTTTATTTTTGTTATGCTGTTAGCATTTTCATGAACAGCGTGAAAATTCATTGCCTTTTTTAAAACCAGAGTGTCCAAATTTTTAATCTGCCTGCACATTCCTGAGTGCAAATTCTTCTTGGTGCTCGCCACAGACCAGTTACAGGTAAGGCTCTTCATTTTCTTCATCGGAAGCATCAATTTTCCAGTTCCCACCGAAGTCTGCAACTGTATGGCCCAGCAAGAACATATATACACCACAAATCTTGCATACTGATGCCAGACTTTGACTTCATTTTGTAACTGCACTCTTCAATTCCCAGTGTTTTTGTTGCAGCATGGTAATGACTAAGGCCATTCGTGGTGATACTGTTTCCCGTTCTTTTTCCTTTCTCTCTGCAAATGCTCCAGTTCAGCCTCATACATCATTTCCTGCACTAAGTATTTCTCTCTCCTCATTCTGTCACACAAGTCTTTGGGCATGTCTGGAATCAGGTAGGCAATGAAAGACTTTATCCCGAAAACAAGGTGCTGAAAAGAAGAACAAAAATAATTGCTTCAAAGATGCATAAATATTCATTTCTAGGGCCTAAAATTCTGTGGCAAAACTGGAACTAAGATTCAATTCATGACTGAAAAGCAACTCCTTTGTTTTTTTAATACACACACACACGGGAGTAAATGAGTGATCTACCAGAACTGTGAAAACACTAAAGTGTTCTGAAAAGTAAAACTAAGGGTATAGTTACTGACCTAAACGAAGATGTGACTGCAGGATATGCTAGTATGAATAACAACAGAAAACACTACCAACAAGCAGTCTTTGCTAAGAGCTTGTAATAGAAGTAAGTAACCAGGTTCCTGGACAGTATGTAATACGTTCCTCAAGACAGTACACACATTGCTACTTTTATATGAGGCCACAATCACGCGTCATTTTCCTGACACACTTTTTAACTTGTAATAACTGTGCTCAATGTACACACAAGTTGCATTTCTTCTTTTTCAATAAAATATGAAAGATTTGGTTGGGAATCACCATGATTTATTAGACAACTATTACAGAAATATGATTTTGGAGGGACTTTAAAGTCTGTGCATGCTCTGCCAATTCAGTTTGAAGTGGCAGATTGACAATAGTTTTGGGGGTGGTGATTATTTTTTTTTCCTCTCTCGACTGTAATGAACAAGCAGTTGATGACACTGACAATTATTTATGAGACTACTATAAGAAAAAAAATCAACTCGGACTTTAAAGAGTTAGAAAGGAATTGCTCCTTTTCATGACTAACCTCAAATACTATGATGAAGGCCAGCCGCGCTGCCAAGACATGCCAGAACTGCAAAGTGAATTCATACGGAGTTGAACTCCATGGTGGGGCTCTGTAATCTCTGTATCTGTAAAGTAAAGAAAAAACTTTAAAGTGCGGCTGTGCTTAAAAACCTGAACATGGTGAAGAGGTTTTCAGCGTATCCCAGATCTGGCCAGAAGGAGAGAAACTGAAGTAAAAGCATGCTTCAAGGGGAATTAAACAGAAAAGGAGAAGAATAGTCCACAATACAGGCTACTAAATAGGGCTGCTTATAATATGGCACTTTTTGCTTTCAAAAATTCAGAGCAAACAATTTCTTTTGTTGTTACAAAGCTGACACCTTGGAGTGTTAAGTGTGTTGACTCTAAATTGGTTCTTTGCTTATAAGCCTTTGAGAATCTCCAGATAAAGTTTGCATAAATGTAACATGATTCTGTAACTTCTTAGTCAATTCAAGCTAACTCTCACTGTAAAACTAAATCTGAAACCAGAAGGAGTTTACTCATGCAATGTGATATTTAATTTTTATGCTGAATTTCCTGTATTCATCTTGCATAACTGCTTGGGATCTTGACTTGGGTTAGAACCAAAACAAAGATTTCATTAATAGACCTCAGAATGCTTAACCAAACTGAAATGAAAATTTTTACTCTTCTTAGCAGCTGGGGAAAGTTAAAAATAAAATAATTCATAGAGGTGCGAATGATACGGCTTATAAGTGTCTGGAAAAACTCAGAACACACGTTTCCAGCGTGTTAGGATTGCATCCTACCACACAGTGTTTGCACCTGAGACTTCCATGTTGAACAAACTTGAACTCCAATGCTTTTACAGGCAAAGAAGAAACTATTCTGCCAGTAATTCTGTCAGTAAGCACTGATTTTCAATTAAATGCCTGTATTAATGTCTATGCCTGTATTACAAGAAAGGAGAGCGTTGAAACATACCGGCAGTATCCTGAGTATCCCATCCCAAGTTCACTCAAATCAAATACTGATAAACTGCTGTTGACGTATCCTTTTAAGCATCTGAAAGGAAAAGACACAGAGTCAGGACTTTCTCATAAAGTGGTTACATAGCATATATCCTGTATGTAAACATATTCTGCTATCATGTAGTGTGAGCATACTATTTTATTTGCTTATGAGGGCAACAGCAACTCTAAAATTTTAAGGCAGAGAAGCAAAGTTTTACTGGAAAGAAATAATATCTGTTTCAGGGATAATACTGTTTAAAAATCTATTTTCAGTACTTTTCACATTTTTGCTTCTCATCTGCCAGCAGATATAAACCAAAAAATGTTGCTATAGTGCTCTTCACTGTCTCCTAAAATTACTGGACTTAGAAAAATGGCTGCAGAAGCAGAGCGGAGACTAACTTAACATCCTTGCAGAGTCTGCCACCAATCATGCAGCATATATCAAAAAATGGCAGGTTTTATGAGTTGAATCAAAGAATTTTCACCAACCGTAAAACGAACACTGCATAAATACTAAACAGCCATCTTAAAAGCAACAATTTATTAGTATTAAAGACAGAAATCCTCTAAATACATTGAATTATGATGGCAGGAGTGAAATTTTTGTCTGTTCCTGGAAGATCAAGGACATATAAGACATCCCATCTTCTTGGAAATCTATCCTGCAATTTAACAAAGAGCCTTCTGAAAAGCAAAGAGCATTTAAAGAGAGATGCATCAGGAATTCTTTTATACCTACTGAATCTTCCAGTTTGCTGTGTCACCACAAATCACTACTGGCAAAGAAGCAGAATTACACAGTCCTCAATTAAATGGGTAGTGCACATTAAGCACTAACATTTTTCTGCTACTGTCACTTTTCATCCTATCTTGCCTGTCTTTTTGCCCTTAAATTCTCTCTGTGATACCACAGAAAGAGTGTATCTCTATTTTTCACAGAATCACAGAGTATCTCAAGTTGGAAGGGACCCATAAGGATCATCGAGTCCAACTCCCTGCTCCTCGCAGGACTATCTAAAACTGCCTAAGGACTACCTAAAACTTCTTGGGAGGGAACTACTCTAGTTCCTTGTCATTGGGGGAGAATTGTGTGATTTGAGCTTCCTCTGTCCATTGAATGGAGAAAACAGCTAAACAGGTAAACAATGTATGCCATCCAGTTCATAAACAGGTAAACAATATATGCCATCCAGTTCAGAAAAGTTTGATATAAACAAGCAAGCCCAAGACTTAAAACAAACAAAAGTGCTTTTGACAGAAGGTGTTATTAAATTATAAAATGCCTGGTCACAGGATATTGTTATGGAAGCATAGGTGGCTATTTTCGCATCCATGAAAAGCCATCAGGGGCTAATATAAACAAACATGAAGACATGAAATTCTGCCTCAGAAAGTCTCTAAACCACAGCTTTCTGGAACGAGAGAAAGCATCATGAAACACTGCTTCAGATTTGCTTGGCTTCTGTATTAGACACTTTAGACAGGCTGCTGACAGACTGAATCATTAGAGATGGAGCAATGAGAGAAGGAAGGACAAATGTCTGTGGTTTGGGCAGAGGCACAGTCTGCGAATGCAGTGGCACTGGCTTGTTGGACAAGCCTTGATGCTTTCACTCTTATCCTTCCTCCTGTGCAATAAAGAAGGTAAGCTGTGCTTGTGAGATGTGCTATAGTATTAGTGAAGTGATGCTTCCTTTTCTGGAGGTAACCCTGATTCACATATTAAAAAAAACACCTCCAAAACCACACCCCAAAACCATGTGGAGGGCACTGGTCTCCAAATGAAAGAGTGTGCCCATGAATACTGTGATCTGTTTACATCATGTGAAACACCATGACAGTGGGAAAAGCAGACAGAGCACGGTGGACTCACAGTTCAGAGGGACGGGTAAGTGTCTGCAGAGAAGTGCAGGAAACTGGCCTGGTGGTAAGAAGAGGCAGGGTACCTTGCTTGAAGCTAAGAGACACTATATACGGAGTCGGGCTAAATAGTGTCAAGGTCAATCTTGCTAGAGCTTGGCTGCAAGCTCTGGAGCCCCCAGCATACGAAGGACATGGGCCTGTTGAACCAAGTCCAGAGAAGGGCCACGAAGATGATCAGAGGGCTGGAGAACCTCTCCTATGAAGACAGGCTGAGAAAGTTGGCATTGTTCAGCCTGGAGAAGAGAAGGCTCTGGCACTGGAACAGGTTGCCTGGAGAAGTTGTGGATGCCCCACCCATGAAGGTGTTCAAGGCCAGGCTGGATGGGGCTTTGAGCAACCTGGTCTAGTGGGAGGTGTCCCTGCCCACGGCAGGGGAATGGAACTCGATGATCTTTAAGGTCCCTGCCAACTCTAACCATTCTGTGATTCTGAGGAGAAACAGGTGTAGGGATTGAGGGTGAACAAGGCTTAAGATAAAAAAAGCCTTGGATAAAAAAATAAGGCTGCAAGCTCGGGAGTCCCCAGCATACGAAGGACATGGGCCTGTTGAACCAAGTCCAGAGAAGGGCCACGAAGATGATCAGAGGGCTGGAGAACCTCTCCTTTGAAGACAGGCTGAGAAAGTTGGGGCTGTTCAGCCTGGAGAAGAGAAGGCTCTGGCACTGGAACAGGTTGCCTGGAGAAGCTGAGGATGCCCCATCCCTGGAGGTGTTCAAGGCCAGGCTGGATGGGGCTTTGAGCAACCTGCTCTAGTGGGAGGTGTCCCTGCCCAGGGCAGGGGAATGGAACTCGATGATCTTTAATGTCCCTGCCAACTCTAACCATTCTGTGATTCTGAGGAGAAACAGGTGTAGGGATTGAGGGTGAACAAGGCTTAAGATAAAAAAAGCCTTGGATAAAAAAATAAAAAGGATTCAGGAACACATATCTTTGTGTGGGAGCATGGTGGGAGAAGACAGTCCAGAACTATTGCAGAAAAGAAGAAAAGCTTATCAAGAGAATGCCTGAAAACTGCTACGGTGCACACTGAACTTAATTGTTTACATTCAGAAAGGAATACGTGATTTTCCACTTCTGTAACTGTGCAAACTCTCTGGAATGGCTGAGTTACTTGCACTTAACGTCTGCGAAGGTTTGCACTGATGCAAAAGGTAAAATGTTACTGATGTATACTAAGTTTGTTAACACAGAAAGACAGTACCAAAATATAATATACTTTTATATATATATAACTGTGTCCAGTTCTGGGCTCCCCAGTTCAAGAGGGACAGGGAACTACTAGAAAGAGTCCAGCGAAGGGCAACAAAGATGATTCAAGGATTGGAGCATCTCCCTTATGAGGAGAGACTGAGAGAGCTGGGACTCTTTAGTCTGGAGAAGAGAAGGCTGAGGGGAGACCTTATCAACGCCTACAAGTATCTCAAGGGAGGGTTGAAGGAGGAGGGAGCCAGACTCTTTTCAGTGGTTCCCACTGAGAGGACGAGGGGCAACGGGCACAAGTTGGAACATAAGAGGTTCCACTCAAATATGAGGAGAAACTTCTTCATGGTGAGGGTGGCAGAGCCCTGGAACAGGCTGCCCAGGGAGGTTGTGGAGTCCCCTTCCTTGGAGATTTTCAAGACCCGCCTGGATGCCGTCCTGAGTAACATGCTCTAGCTCTAGGCAATCCTGCTTCAGCAGGGGAGTTGGACTAGATGATCTCTATGGTCCCTTCAAACTCTAAAAAATTCAGTGAAATTCAGTGAAAAGTGTGCTTCTACTGAAATATATACATGCACATATAAAGAATATCTTAATTACTTTTCTTGTCTGTATCCTTGATCTGTACAGGGACCGTATTTGTATGCATAGACAAAACGTGGAATGTAATCAGAAGTAATGGCAATAACAAAGGCATTGGTGATGACAGCCAGAACACCAATTCCTTCCAGAATCCCATACCAGATACCTAGAAACAAGGGAAATAACAACAAATTAGGTTTTAACAGTCATATTAAGTCATATAAAATCATACTAGTGATACTAAAGTCATTATTAGTCATACAGTTTTCCTTTCTTACTGAGAAAGAATTATTCAGTCAGAAAAGCTAGTCAAGATTAAGCCATGATCCCACATTCCTGCCACCACTTGCTCCACCTGAATGAAGTCTTACAGAAGGGCACACCCCGTTGAGAAGAAATAGCTAAGCAACAAAGGTATAACCATAATCTTTGGTTATAAAGAACAAATACAAGATTTCGCAAAGAGATTTCTTATTTTTAGTTAATTCAGTTTTAAACCAAAAGTTAATTTATTCCTTATATTTAAGTTTTAAATTCAACTAATTGTGGACAGCATTGTAGACCTAGAGTTCCGCAAATCAGAACCCTAAAGTACTATTTAGCCTGTTTTCGAAATTCCAACCATTATAATCCTTAATTGGCAATGGAAAGCAAGTTTTTGAAGTCCTCTTAGTTACGCAACTGACTATGCTTTTGTTGTTTAACAGAGATTAAACAACACTGAGATCTGTAGATTATGCTATCAATTTCACTCTTGATGCATAAAATATTTCAAGGGTTAAGCTACATTAAGGAAGGAAAGACAAAGAGGTGGTGCCTGACTGTGACAGTCATTAGGTTCTCTCACCTATATCTGTTGCTCTTGCAGGCATAGGTCTTCGCCACTGTGTGACAAACTTGTAGGCATCTAACCGTATTTCTATGATATTGTTAAGCAACGCCAGGAGAGGTGCCAGTGGGAAGGCAGCAACGAGTACTATTTAGCCTGTTTTCGAAATTCCAACCATTATAATCCTTAATTGGCAATGGAAAGCAAGTTTTTGAAGTCCTCTTAGTTACGCAACTGACTATGCTTTTGTTGTTTAACAGGAGAGTTGTCATTGAGATCTGTAGATTACACTATCAATTTCACTCTTGATGCATAAAGTATTTCAAGGGTTAAAGCTACATTAAGGAAAGACAAAGAGGTGGTCCCTGACAGTGACAGTCATTAGGTTCTCTCACCTATATCTGTTGCTCTTGCAGGCATAGGTCTTCGCCACTGTGTGACAAACTTGTAGGCATCTAACCGTATTTCTATGATATTGTTAAGCAGCGCCAGGAGAGGTGCCAGTGGGAAGGCAGCAACGAAGATGGTGGTGAAGCCAAACTGTAAAACTAGACAGACATTTCGATGGTTAGAAACTGGAAATGCAACAAAGTTCCAGTTTCTTAAGAAAACTGCCATCTCCCTAACTTTGCTCACCCATCTCTAAGTATTCGTCCATTAAACCATGGAGATTCATAGGCTGCAGATTCCAATCTTTTTCCCACTGAGGCAGAGAAATTTTTTGCTCCATTAATTGCCCTCCTCTCTTCATTTTTCGTCGTGACCACCAATTCTGTAATAAACTTTATTAGAGAAACAGAGCATTATTGACTGTAATTGCTCGGTGATTTACAATACTTGCTGGTATTGTTTTAAAGTAAGTGGGCCTGTTTTGAATAGCATGTGAATGTTTACTTAGGTATTTTTTGGAAATATTCACAATATCATGTAAGATACAATTCAAAGAACATCCAAAACTTCTCAATTCTGCATTATGATTTTAATTATGTCTTTAACGTATGTTAACATGTTAGGCATTGTACACATTAGCTTTTCAGAATATGGAATTTGCTTGCATAGACTTTTTTTTGACAGGATCTACCTGCATGCCTAAACAAAAAAGAGAAGAGAAAAAAAATCATGCATAGTGAGAGTAATGATTTATAAATAATGTAAACAGTAAATAATAGTAAATAATGCTTAATTTTTAATCCTGTAAAAGACAGATCAAATAAGTAGAGCTCAGTAAGAACTCTATGATACTAGAATAAATCGAACAGTAGAATATGTCTATTATTTTTTGAATAAACCTAAAGATCTAGATCCTCTACAGAATACTTTTTTCTTGAAGCAGGAAAAAGCGTTTAAAGAGGTGCTGCTGAAGCTGCAAATATTTAAGACTGATTTTATAAAAGGTGTGCAGAGGTCCTTTCACAAAGTAGTTACAAATATTAAGTGGGTAATAGTATCACAAATTAAAGTGTTATACAAACGAAAAATATTATCCAGTACTGACACAGGGGGCAATTAAAGACTATTATTTGTTTCTAGATATGACTGAAAAGAGACTGAAGATGGAAAATAATTTTCTTATAAATATTTTTATTAACAGGCTGCTATTTTTTCCTCAAGCTAATTTAGTGTTCAGCTCTTGTTACTGAAAGGCCTTAGTGGCAAACATTGGCTTTGTCAAAACAAAACATTGCTTTTCATAAAGGACTATGAACATGTTCCAAAATAAGTTCTAGACAGAGTGAAGGTGGTGCTGGGCTAAGATGACAGGAAGCCTGATACTTCAAGTGGGTTTCTTCTTTTCAGAAATTCCTGTCTGGCAGCAATACAGTGCACTGCCTCTCATTCACACAATGATTGCACATTGTGAGCGTAACTCTTTCTGACATATTTTCAAGGTTGAGACTTTTATTAAATTAATGTTTGATGAGCAACCTTTTGCTTTTACCAAAAACATATTCTTCCAGTTTCAAGAAAGCTGTTAAGACTCTTAGTCTATTACCCTCTTCAGCAGCTGAACAGCTCTGTTTGTATTATGGAAAATGAAATCACAATAAACAATTTAGATGGTTAACATACCCTGAGAATCTTTATCTTAGAGCAGCAGTTAATGCTTCCCTTGGGAATAAATTTACAGTATAAGAGATGCAAAAAGTGGAAACACTCTGCAAACATGTGTTGTACTTAAAATAGTTATTTTGGCAAAGGTGGACTATTTATACTCTATGCTTCTTACAGCACGTAGGGGAAGAATGTAGACCCAGTTATGTGTTTAACAACTGTATTTTTAGTCCTCAGAGCTAGAACTGAACACAAGCCTTGTGTAAGCACTAGTAGCACGTCCTCCTCACCTGATAGGGAAGGCTGAAAATCAACATTGATGATTAGGTTTTGAGTGATAAAATGAAATACGTAAACTTGACCCAGCTGAAGGATCCCATTTTATGTGCTCGTGAACATACACTTCCAGAGATCAGTATTTCAGCTGTTCATTGTTTTCATCAATTAATGATGATAATGAACTTCAATTAAAGCTGAAATTTTGCCCTCCACTCAAATGAAGAATTATTTTTCCCTATGACTGATTCACACTAATATGTAATCACTGTGAAACAAATTTTAACATCTGAACTTACGGATAGCCTAGCTCCATGAAGTTGTTCCACATTTGTTTCAAAACCATAATAACTCCCATTTGCAAACACAGATCTATCAAGCAGCCACTAGGATGACACTGAAATTAAATGGAAAATTATCAGTAGCTAAAATAACAGAATTTTTAATTTATTATTTATTTTATTATTCCTTTATTTTTTTATTTGTCCACAGGGCAAATGGAAAATACTCAAATATGTTTGGTGAAAAACACTAACCTCCAGAAATATTAAAAGAAGTATTAATTTAATAACAGAAATATTAATACAGATTTTGGTTGAACAACCTTTACACATATTATTTCTTGGAGAACTGAATTGTATTTTTTTGATCATGGAATACAAAGTTATTCTATTTTACTTTGTGGCTACCAAGGTTCAACAGAAGAAACCTGCTTTTCAGAGATACGAGAGAACTTCAGCATGCTAGTGATATCAAGGGAGGCGCAATTCTAACAGTATTTTCAAAATTTAGCTTGAAAGTGTATTTATCTTCTTTTAAATTAGTATTTTTACACTGGCAGAAACTTAAGAAGCTGATAAAAAAGCTGATGGCATTATACTTATGTCCTCCACCCCAAAATAATCCACATACCCAGGAGATTCCAATCATGTAGGACTCAGTAGTGCCTGTGAGGTAAGGGACTATCACTGTTTGCTCCTCCCCAGGAGAGAGGCAGAAAGAACTGCATGTCTCATGCAGAGTCACTCAGCACAGTGGAGAATGAAAGCTGATAAAAAAGCTGATGGCATTATACTTATGTCCTCCACCCCAAAATAATCCACATACCCAGGAGATTCCAATCATGTAGGACTCGGTAGTGCCTGTGAGGTAAGGGACTATCCCTGTTTGCTCTTCCCCAAGAGAGAGGCAGAAAGAACTGCATGTCTCATGCAGAGTCACTCAGCACAGTGGAGAATGAAAAAGGAAAAAGGCATCTCCTATTTCCTATCCTTTGCTATAAATAAGAGTTTATTCTTCACAGCACTTAGATGGAATGATAAATCTTTCAGACTGGACGTAATTCATGCCCTTCAGCCATTTCCTTTTGACTTAACAAAAATTTCACAAGAGCACAAAATAGGATTGCTTACCTCTTCCAGTCTCCATCTGTTAAAAAGCTTGTTGTACTTTCCTGGGCGGCCTGCAAATCTGGAAAATAAGATTTCTGTTTCTCAATGGACATTCCAAGAACACCCTGTATCCCTAGTTGTTTTACAACATCCACTGAGCAAAGTCATGACATATAAACACTTTAAATCACACAGGCTTAAAGCTGATGTCTGTAGGATATGGTAGTTTCAGAATGCAAACAAGGACCATCATTTTGCAAGCAATCTTAAGCTTTTATTATGTCCAGAACAAAAATCCTAGCTTCAGAGGTTTTAGATGTTAGATATTCAGACTCTCTAATCTACTTCTAAGAAGATAAGCCATTGCAATACACAGGAATTTACTGCAGAACAGAGATTCTGCTTGCCCACATGAAGTGTGCACTGGATTGCACTCTCAGACATACAAGCACAAAATTGCTTCCAAACCCACCATAACTAAATGCTTTTTACAGATCTAACAGATTCTTGTGTAATGAACTGAATCACAATTCTTAATGACCTCAGTGATAAGTTATTTTTGAGAGAGAAAAGTCCCCATGCCTGGTCCTACGAGACACAGAAAACAGCAAGACACAAAGAAGTTTAGAAACTGTATGGTAAATGCATCACTGGATGTGACAAGCAGGTATTACCAACAGTTTTTAATAGAGGGCTTTTTCTTTCAAACAATCTCAAATGGCAATGATATCATAAGATTTATAGAAGGTGCTCTGAAATACTCCGTGGGTTCTGCCGGAAAGATAAGTCTGATCATAATGAAACTGAAGATGAAGCGAGGTTAGACTTGTCCAGTATCTTATGCTCTGAGCTAAAGATACACATAGAAACTGAGGCCAGAATTTCTTCCTCCTCTTCTATAAGACCTACCAGACACTATTTACTATTTATAGGAATGGATCCTGGGAAATGTAACTAAAGGGGAATAAACAAGAAACAAAATGAATAAAGCCTAATAGCACAGGGCTAAATGCAGACCCACATTGAGGAAGTGGCTGTATTTTCAAAGCTGCTGTATTTTCATTTAGTAGGAAAGTCAAGTACATAGACCCACTTAAAAGAACAGATGTTTTACTGTCTTAGTCTCATGACTAAAGATTTCAAGGGTCCAACACCCACATATAGTTAAAAACATTAATTTTGTGTTATTGATTATCCTCGGAAACTGACTTGATCTAAATCTTGCAGTTAGAACTGTCATGGTATTTTCTTCAAACCTATAAAATTAGCAAAGAATACCAGTTCTGTGCAAGTTTTCCTTTAAGAGCAGTTAGCAACGATAACTTACCTGCCCAGAAAAAAGGCAATGTAAAAGATGGAGCTGTTCAAGTTGACAAACTGGAAGAGAAACATTTTCAAGGCAAAGCTGTTTTCCCATTCAGACTCAGTTCTAGGGTGCTCTGCGGAAAGATACAACATATATTATATAAACAAAACCGAAATTGAGTTATGCCTAATGTTGCTCATGCATCAATCAACACTAACAAGACACGTGATGGTTTCAAGTCATGGTGCCCCATCAAGTTGTAACTAATTTTTTTTTTCTCAAAGAGTGCAGCCTGCAAGTCACAAAGCATTATCCCAGCTCAGACTATGGTTGGTTCTATGTGGAAACAGGAGATATAAGCCTCTTGGTACAGAATAGGACAAAACTCTCTGGGAAGACACCTGTTCCATTTCCATGAAAAGGTTCTGAAATCAGTCAGAGTCTTTAATTTTAAGGTTACATATATCTTGATTTAAAAAAAGTATTTAATACACAATAAAAAAAATGCAAACAACAAGAAAAGCACTTGGCATCAGCAGAGCAATAGACAGGGGCTGCCAAGGAAAGCAGAGGGAAAAGAGACAACCAACAGCCAGTTGGTTTCCCACCCAAGCATCTTGCCTTCTAAATACTTCTCTAAGACCCCAACTTCACCCTCAATGCCCTATCATAATGCTTGTGAAGCGTTAGAATCAAACAATTCAACAAGGAAAGGATGGAGATTCTTATTTTGGTTTGTTTTTGGTTTTTTTTTTGAGAAAGAAATGTAGAAATGTGTAGTAGGGCTACAAGTATTGTTTCTGGGTCTGCACTACCTTGGATGTTCTTCCTTATGGTTTGTAGAACATTATTTATGTCTGAATTAGAACTTGGTTATTTAAATTTAATTGGGTTTTGGTAAAAATTTCAAATTTCTTTGATGGATGTATCAGACTTGGAATACAGTACATTCATAAAAGTTTAAAGCACTTTTATGAGTTGGAAGTCTACAGTTCCTGGATTTTTCAGTTATAATTTGTACTACATTATTACTTTGGTCTAATGCTGACTAAATCAGGATACAAATATACAGGACAGTAGCTTTACATATGGACACTGGTTCCTCAGAAGTTAGGATGCTCTCCATATCCCTGATGTAAAAGAAAGTGGAGTGAGCTACCTAGCTCAAACACCTGATGCTCTCATAATGCCTAATTCAATAAGTCTTTTTTTTTATTTTTTTTTTAAATTCTTTTATATATTTTGGGGAAAATCACCGTGTATACTTAAATGAAATCATTATTTTCTTTTCCATACCCTGGTCTGTAACGATATGGTTATAAATCAATGGGATCTGAAAAAATATATTAATAATTTGAGTAAGTTGACTATACATTCTGAATCTTTCTAACTTGTTCAATTGCCTGTTATCTGAAACATGAAGTTTTGAGCATCTTGTTTAATGCCTGCTCTTCAATACTTTAACCAGAAGAGGGAGCTGTTGAATTTAAGCAGCGAGCTGGCTTTTAAACGATAACGAGATCAACGGCATATTTTGATACGGGCTAAAAGAGAGTATGTAAGAAGAAACACTAAAAGGCAACATATTCACATGGTAGGAGATCTCAAATGCTGTCTTTGCTTTCGTGTTTTCTATAAGCTAGAGAGCTTTACCTCTGTGACTGAATCACAACTAGAGGCTTCAGTATAAATTTTTATTGTGACAGAATTAGATAAATTTCAAATTTATTACTTCATTTTATCTTAACCCATTTTTTTTATATGAATGTTCAAATTAAAAAATTACAATAAAAATACGAAAGGATTTGGGAAAAACTGAAAAAATGTTTTAGCATTCTAAGAAAGAATGTTTTTACTTTTGTTTCACATGACTTTTTTTTTCAATTTATACTACAAACCATAAAAAAGTAGAAGTATAAGAATAAATCCCTTTCTTTTCTATTATTTCCTTAGTGAAATAATAATAGCATTTCTTTCTCTGGTATTTCTCACTTGCTTAGGAAAATGCCAGAATTGTACTACACGTAGTTTTCAAAACCCTATTTTATGGAAATATAAAGGTATATGCCAAACTAGCAAGAACCATACAACTAGCAAAGACCCACATACCCAAGTCTGTCAGGAGATAGGCAACCTTTTCATATACCTAAAACAGAAATAAGAGATGGTGTAAGTATAGTACATGCTGCCTGTTGTGATGTCAAATCCAGAATAAAAACAAGCATCAAATGCATGGGTGTTCTGTAGCCCTACAGCATCATGGTATGGACAGAGAAAGGAGGGTCATATCCTAGCCAAGTGTGGATGTATAGTTTCCTATAAAGACTTCATTGAGCTTCTATTATCCTGTTGTCTTTATCCATGTAAATGTATGAATGGATGTATATACATTAAATATAAAGATAAATCTAGAGCCAATAAATCAAGAGAAATGCACAGATATCAACAGTTAGATGCTTATTCCCTAACTTCAGGAACAAACCTTGCTGAACTACGAGTAGGGAAAAGCCTTTACACAATACAGTTTTCCTTTGCATCAACGTGCATACTGGTAGGGATATCAGCCTCCAAATGAAAGCTTCCTTATCTGTCTATATATTGATTATCATAAAGGACACAGCCCAAAGTAGCTACCAACTCTGAAAAAGATTTCCTTCATATTTACTATTAATAGCAAGTTATTTTCAATAGCTTTTGTGTGGTTGTTCACTTGAATCTACTTTTTATGACTTAGAATTATTATATATAATAACAGAAATAATGACAGCCTGTTTTGAAGAATGCTTTCTTGTTGCAATGAATGCACAATGTCTTTAACAGAATTAAAAACCGTTGTTTGCTGTGCTGCTGTTTCTTTTTACCTGCTTGTACCCACACGGGAATAGAAAAATTATAAATTTTATTGCAGTGGAAGGAATAAAGTTTATATCAACATACATTGTGCTACCACAGCAAATGATTAAACCCGTGCTTACATGACAGGAAAAGCTTAAACCAAAATTATGTATCACAGTGGTTCCAGGACTATGCAACACTGGTATCACAACTGCTTTTTAAATAAGAAGGGAAGAATTCAAAGTTATCAATTGAAAAACCAGAAAATTCTCAGCCAAGAAAATAACGTAGTTCCATTGAGATGAGAGATGTATTGTAAAAGGTATGTAAAAAAACCACCACAAATGTTGAAAGCAGTAGTCTGTACCACTGTGACTTGGTGACATAAGCAAAGATGTGTAGTGACAAATTAAGTAGGCAGTACAGAAAAACCTAGCATTAGAAGAGGAAACGCCCCTGAAATACTAGCTTCAGGCACTGCTATATGAATAACCAAGAACATGTATGTATCTGATATACAGTGAACTCAATAACCTTGTAAAAATCACTCCTTAACATTAATCCCTCCTTTAAAAGAACAGAAGACTTACAACATTGAGTGACATGATGATCATAAAATTGATACAGACTCCAGTGCCAGATGTTGCAAACTGCCAATACTTCTTGATGAAATACCACTTGAAAGAAGCAAACTGTTCCATGGCTACCAGACGATACACCACAACTGCAAACACTGCAGTAAGGACCAGTGAAATCTACAGGTAAGTGTTTATAAACAGAGATATTAGAATAAAATAAATCATATCTGAAATAATTCCCATTGCATTAATAAATTAATGAGTGTTTTAAAGATTAACATTTGTTGGGGTGAGCAGACTTTAAGAGAACAAAAATACTAGATTGATGAATTAAAACATTTCTTTACTGTTCTTTTACAACGTAACCATATTACATCTTTAAAAAGAAAGAGATCCATAAACAAGCAGTAAGGCTGAGACAATCAGTTTTGCCTATATGATGTAAATCCACTAACCTTAATGAATGCACTCATGACTTGCACTACCATTTACATCAGAATAAGATTACAGCTACAACAATGCCAGTATTATTAAACATTACCATGAAAAATATTCCTGAGACAGACACCATCAGTCGACTGAGCTTATCAGGGAAAGGCTGAAAAGGTTCGGGTTTTCCTGTGATGGGATTTACTCTTTCCACTTGGGAATATTTAGCTTCAAACTGGGGGCGCAGCTCTTCCTGGAATGACAGGGTAGATTCCATTTGTTGTACTAAGTTCACTTAGGTATCCAATTCAGACACATGTGTTATAAAGACTTGTTATAAAGTAGGGAATTTATATTTTTTATAATGCTCCAACTCAAAATAAATCATTTGCTCTTTTGAAAATCCTTGGAAACAGTGCCAGAGACCAACAAAGAAAATAAACCATAACAGCCTTCCTCACTGTGTGAGGGCATTAAAAGGATCATGGGTCATAATAATGACTTAAACAGTAGTTTCTCTGCAGAAATCGATAAGAAAACTCTAAATTAATGCCACTTATGATGGTACTTTTTGTGATATGAAACCATCTATTAAAAGCCACCAGCTTGTACCTATACATGTCTAGGGAAAGCTATAAAGCAAGTAATGATGAAGTCTTTATTGACAGACTGCAGTTGAATCACCAATATAGTTAAATTACAGCTATATTCACTAGTGATTTATGAAGTAAAGGAATAAAAGAATTTTATTATTGCTGATGTTGATAGTAGAATGTGAAAGGTAAGTTATGCCTCTCAGGCGGCTATAAAATATAGTTTCTGTCCCTCTGCTTGTCCTGGTCCTGTTTTTAACCAAGATTAGGAACTTCCAGAATAAGAAACCATAGAATTGAAAGGTATCTGTGCTGACATCAGTAGTAGCTCTTGTCCTCTGTATGCGCATTATTTCCACTCAGTTTTTCAAAGGATACTTTTAATAGTTGCAGAATTATATTTGGAATTATAATGCTAGTTGCAGAAGGCAAAGTATCCTTGTATAGTCCCAAGTATACTTGTTTATTCTGCAACTAGCATTATAAATGCAAATATAAGCTCAATTGCAAATTCAGATTACTGACATACAATACGTATTGATATTTACACTTAAATCATGCTGATAGCAAGATTTACAGGTTTCCTTCCGTTTAGTCTTACCTCCTCATCTTCCCAGTCTATGAGATCCCAGTCATAGGTTAATACAGCTCTCCGTCTTTTCCAAAACTCGAGAAAGACTGTAGCTGTGGAAATCATCAACTGCATTTTAATTATGGAAAAGAAAGAAAAAAGGCCATGCAGATCTCAAGAAAATCAGAAATATGTAACATGGCAACTGTCATTAGCCACTTCCTGGCTGTTTTCCACATGGATTCTGAAAACTGAGTAACTTCAGGATAATCACATTAAATTTGGAATACTGTTTTACAATTATTATCTAATAATTTTTTTTTTTTGCTGTCTGCTATATCTTCATAGGAGAGACAGGCACCTGTTAATATGAGACATTGCCATCCCTTTTAGATCATAATTTTGCTTTTAATTTTATTCAAAACTTGCATGGTTTAAAATCTTTCCTTGAAGAAACAAGGATATGCATAACACAATGGTATCCATTAATAAAGAGCCAAATTTTATCCAGTTTGAACCAAGACAACCTCACTTCTTTCCCAGCTATACCAGCTTTATACTGGAGTAGCTTCACCACTAAAATATTTCTTTAAATGATTATTTATAATCTTTGTGTGAGATCATAATCAGAGTCTCCATGTACTTAGTGGTTTTGGTAGGTCCTATAAAAAGAATTACAACCAATAAATAACTCCAACTTTTCCAAACACTGCAGTTTGCCACTGCGGGCAAGATGCCCTGCTTTGGTGGGATTCCTGACAAAATGTGGGATTGTCCAACTGCTGCCTGTAAAACAGTGATTTCAAATAGGGAGTGAGAAAATTTGCTTCCTTCTGGCAAGCCAGCTGCTCAGAAGGAGGATTTCTAACTCAAGCTGAATAGGACAGTCTCACATTTCTACCTTTTTCTATATTTCTGTATTATATTTAACATCTTATTGGGTTTACATATATATTATATATGGCTACCATCACTTTATGTATATGCATATATACATAATCTATCCATATACTCTATAAAGCCCAATGACTAGAAGTTAGCAGAAGTTCACCATACCACTACCCATAATAATGGATTTCAGCTTGTGTAAATATATGTTGAAGTTTTGGAAATAAAAGGAGGCAGCTGTGATCCAGACATAATACTAGATTGTGGACAAATGGTGTCCTCAGTTGAATATACACAAATCTTATATTGTTATTTATTTCATTCTGTCTGTCCCCTAAGATCTGGGATAACTCACTTATTCTTTAAATCAAGATCTGTCTCTAAGTTCAGGCTCTGGTACAGCATGAATAATAGGCTCTAGGGTAATATGAATAATAATAATAAATGATGTCTTTTATGTTACTTATGTACATGAAGCATTTGATATTGCAATGATCAAGAAAATAACACATATAGATGAAGCAAGTGAGGCCCAATCACTAACTATACCTGCCAACTACAGCACCTTTTCCAGATTCACCCGAGCTCTTAATAATTCCTGCATTACTCCCTTTCACACAGTAGAAGAGAATTCATGGTAATTTCGTTGTGTTACAGGCTACTGAGAAAGTAGTGTCAAAAGCTTTAAGTATATAAAAAAAAACCCCAGCATGTTGGGAAAAAACCAATTCACAAAACTTCTCTTGTGCTGTAACCTTCTAGTCTAAATGACTCTGAAAAAACATCAACTTTTTAAAAGTCAAGTATTTGCCCAGTTCTACAGAAAACCTCGATCCTTCCTGGCCTGCCTTTATTTCAGTCTATCACCCCGCTAACGCCACCCATCTCTGATTGCTCTCTGTGCAAAAAAAGCCCCTCCACTCCTAGTTGCTAGGCACTTCTTACTGACTCATCTCTGACCCTCATCTCCCTGCTCTGAAAATGCTAAGCCTTGACTTTTGTCAATTACTTCTGCAGAAAAATAAGACATACAATAGATGACTAATCCAACCACGTTAACATTAATATAAGAACATTCATGTTCTAACATTGCTTTGACGGGGCAGTTTCTTTCTGTCTAATCCTGCTGCTCAAGAGTTCTGGATAATTTTGAGTTTAAAGGGTCACACACAAGCCTCCAGCTTCCTACAGAAAACATTATCTGCTGCCTCCTCTCCTGCCTTTTCCAGGGTACATTGCTTCCTCTCTTACAGCTCCAACTGCTGTTCTGAATTTTAAATCCCATAATATATGGCATACTTCCTTTTCTTTTTTGTCCAGCACTTTAGTATAGACCTACTCATTTAGGGATTTGTTGCTCAGTGCTCTGCAATACAGACTGCAGTTCTGCCTGTTGCACACTTCCAGAAGTTTAACTCTTATTTTAGTTACCCTACGTTTACTGCCCTTACACCGCCAGTACTTGCACTGATGAAGAACTAAAATCTCTAGGCATGTGCTTCACAGAGTTCTTAACCTTTCAGAAGACAAGAATGATGCTTGATGGTTAAGACAGACAGGAAAAATTAGTTGTGTGTTGCTACAATTCTAAGTATAACAGAAGTTTGATGTTGTCAAGAAGGAATGATAAATGGTCACTCTTCAATGCTGTGGAAGGAAAGAAGAGTGCAGAGAAAGAAAAAGACCCAGACAAAACCAAGACTCTGAGACTATTATGCGACCACATCTCTTCCAAATATTTTGTAAGAGTCACTATGTCAACATAAATGGTGCGTTTATTTCCCTAACAATTTATGGCAATTAGTATTTTCATTAAGGAGCTAGGGAACTGTCTCCTCTGCCTCTCCCCAGATCCTGGGCATGGCCAGCCAGGCCCCTTCAGAATACTCTGCTCAATTACCTCTTCAGTTTCATTCAGTCAGACTCCTTTACAGCAATAAAACCAGTCCTATGGATTTGGTACCACACCTACTACCGAGGCACGCTCTTCAGAATTGAAACTGCTGCTTAATAAATACAGGCAACAGCTGAATGACAGCTTTGTCTCACCTCCCACCCCCGGGGCACTCTCTCCATATGGTCACAGCCCTGAATCTGTTCACGCTGGGGCTCACCTCTGGAGGTTTTGCCTTCCAGGAACAGCGGGCCAGGACTCAGCGCCAGCATCCTGCCACCACGCTGCAGGTGTGCCACGCTCAGCCAAGAACTGAGTCACAAACACAGCATCTTCCATTAGACATTAAGTCACTCAGGTAAACAGTTTTTACTTTTCCTAACAGATGAATGAAACTGCTAATAAATAAGTGAGAGTGAGTGCACTTTCCCAAGCCCCATGCTGAAGCTGAGGGCAGCACTGGAGGGGTATGACTTTCACACCACGGTAATAGATATACTTCAATGGAATTGCAGCCTTATATATTTAAGGTCTTGCTATTTTCAAATATTACATGTCTATTCATAGATATAATAATATCTGTGGCTTCTCAGCACCATAATGTGTGCATGCTGGTGTGCAGTGTACTGCTGACCCTAGGATGTCACTTGTCATTTGGTTAATGCCGCATAAGATCCAAATTTGGACACAAATTCATGATGCTAGTTTTCAGATCTCATGGTCAAACTGTTAGATGCACGTCCACCCAGACACAGCAATAGGTATGAGTCAAAAGCTTGTTGATACACACTGCAGAAAACCCCCTTTAGCAGAATGCTAGATTCCAAAGAAAACCAAACCCACAGTATCATACTGCATCCTCCCTCCTCACAGCCTGCCCCACCTCATGCCACACGAACAACTTATTTCCCCCAAAGGGATATATAAACAGTAGAACTTGATCCATTTCACAGAAAACCTTCTACTTGTCTGCTGCAATATTTTCATGAAAACACCACTAGTTGTTCCCATAAAAACAGCTCCTGTATATGCCATATCCTCAACACTTATCTCAAGGATAAGTTACGAAATAGTATTTGCACTTGATTCCTCAAAAATTTAAAGTGGAAACCGATAACAACATCACGGCATTCCACTCAGTCACATAATACAGAAACGTTTTCGAGTTGCTCTTCACATACCAGCCTAGAATAAATATACATAAAGAATAAAAAAAAATAATCACAGGTTTACTAGATTGGCATATTAAAAGTTATATATGAGGTGCCCGACTTCCTCATTCTAACTTTAATGCAGTATTGTTTATATAAAACCTAAAGCAAGGATTAAGAGTTGTCACGTTTAGATCTGTATCTGGTTATGTATTCCAAAGTAAAAAATAATGACATCTGATAAATTCAGAAAATTTGAATTTAGATTGTTATCCTAAATTATTACAACTGTGAAAATATTTGGAGATAGGATCAGATGCATTTCTAGCAGCATGTTTTTCTTAATAGAACTCATTTTGCTGCTCTATTTCGTAGAAGACACACCTTTTTCCAGTTTTCATCTCACAAAGTATACTGTAGGAAACTGCAATAACAAAAACCTATCTTTTGTTAAATGAATAGTTGCCCGGTACATGGAACAACAGTTTCTATAGTTTACAGAAAACAAGTCGCCCTTCTGAAATACCAGTTCAAAGGATTAGGCAATGAGTACTGCCTACCCACTTTACCATAAATACTGCAATTTTTTGGACTCTGTAATGACAGAGCCAGGTGGTGAGAGCAGCGAGGTCGGTCGGGCTGGTTCCCAGCGCGGGGCTGCCCCACCTCACCTCGCCTGGCCTGGCCTGCACGCCGCGTTCCCCACCCGTGACGCCCTGCCACCCTTATAGTACCTGCGGTCCCCTCTTCCCCGCCAGACTCAGCGCACTCGGGGCCAGGGCAGCATTGCAACAGGTTCTTGCGGATTTTTTACAGCTCAAAGGTATGTCTGAGGTGGTTTTTATGCTTATTAGTTGACCTGATTAACAATCTTTTATATAGTCTTTGGGAAACCAATCAGCGCTGTCGTAGCCAAATTTTACTTAAGAGCGTATTCCTGAGAAAGCAATTTAAAAAAAAGAAGAAAAGTTTTGCAATTCAAACATTAAAGCAGAGAAGTAGATACCATAAACAATGACAGTATTTCAGTCCAATTCAGACTTTTCTTTATTGGCTATTTCTGTCTCTTATCAAGCAAGTAGATTTTCTCGGAGTCAGTTCAGAGCCCACTTTAAATGCTGGGTGGGGATTGGTGGTGGTGAAGGGAAATATTCTGCATATACTACTTTATACCAAATTT